CAGTTCTCCAAGTTATTATCACAAAAACAATTTTAACACATTCAAATGTGTCCAAACAATCATAAAATTTTCCCTAGACTCTACTAGGACTCCTTCCATGCGTATCATCAATCATCAATTATTCTTCAACGCGGTTAGTGGTGGAAACGCTAGACGATGGGAAAACTTTAGGAATTACTCCAATCGTTTTATCAACTCGCCAATCGAAGGTGTACTTCAGACGTACCGTACTCCTCTAGACATACTGTTATTTTATCATACGTATTCTAAAGGTGAGATACCAATCTTTCGATATCCTCTGATAGGTATCATTTGCTATTATAATCTTTCCCAATTCCTCCATTTGCTCAATCCACTATGAGTGCTTATCATGTCGTTCCATACACTGTAATATTTGTTCAAGATGAGAAATTTAAGATAGAGAAGGTTTAGACGCGTAATCCTCCTTATTACTCTGAAAATTCATATGCTAGTTCTAATACCGTAATTAAACATTTAGAAATCTGAACACATAAAATTTACAGATTCATTCGGCAACAGACCATAGATCCAATCAAACGATAGCATCATAAAGCATAACATGCATCTTATAGCATAGATCATTTAGCACATAAATGCATTTATGCATCTTCCTTAAATAAGCTTTTACTTGTATCTATTCAAGTGTACTTGCTAAACTATATTTAACACACTCAACTCACAATCATCGCTTAACATTCTATGTTTAAGTCTAGAAATTTCCTACAATTTCCTAGTTCACTTAAACTAATGCTCTAATACCAACTGTGACATCCCCATTTTCATGGTCAGAAAAGACCGATTTGTTTATGCTTTATTTTAAAATAAGACTAACCATTTAAAGAAAACTGTTGCGGAATTTGTTCCCCAAAAAACATTATAAATATATTATGAAAGAATTTCCTAAGAAATGTATTTTATTCATTTCAAAACTTTGGGATGTCATCGTCAATACAGAAACATAAGCATAAATAGACCTTACATTCATTTACACTAGTGAACTACATCTCCTTAATCTCTTGGTGTAATGTAGGTTCATATCGACACCTGTGATATAAATAAACTCAGTGGTTCAGGTTGGGAAACCTAGTGAGTACATAGGGGTTTCCGCCCACAATAATATAGTTATTATGTTTCATCATCAAACAATTAATCCATTTACCCATCCATATTATCTTCTTTATTCTTAAGTATCTTCTCTATGAATCATCTACTCCTCAGTATTTATTCCATAGTATTGTCCTAAGGAATAGGCACGAAGTCCATCGTCGCCATGGTTTATATAATAGACACTAAGTCCATAGTTGTCGAGGTTTATATAATAGGCACTAAGTCCATAGTCGCCAGGGTGTATCTCATTTATTGACAGTATTATTTTTGAGATCCACTCGCAATATATTTCAATGGGTTTTTAGAGTACACCGGGTGAACGTCTCGTTCCACCAGACCATCTACAATAGTCTGTTGTTTTCATCCATACTTTGCTAGATTACGAGGCCAAGGCTTGGGTAAAGGATTCTCTCATTTTTCACCTCTCACCCTCATCTCATGATCTATTTCACCTTTCATTTCATCATCCAACTCATCTTTCATCTACCCACCTTTACCCTTTGTAAATTATAGGTATAAAATGCATATACAGTAAATCATTTAAAACATGTATAATAGTGTTCATCTAACATGGATAACAAGTATACAGATAATATGCACACATAACACGTAATTTTAATAAAATACTTCATATCTATGTATAAGATAAAAGTAACTATTCACTCACTTGTTAAAGTGATGATTCCAAACTTTAGTAGCGCTTCACTTCTAACGATTCTATTTTCCTTCGACGAAACCTAGCATTATTATTGCTTTGTTTTAGTCTAATCTTTATTGTGACTAATTATTAGTCTAGATTCATCATTATCTCAAATTCTACTTTCATGATCTATTAAGTAAGGAACATCCATGTAGGATCATATCGGAGGTAGGCCGTTTGGTATACGAAGTATACTGATTGGAATCCCACTTTAAACACCTCACTAAATCACAACCTAGACATCATCCCCGTAAGTAGATCAATCAGATAACGACTTGGAATCACTGATAAATATTGTTTATAGGTTCTTAATAATGATAATGAACTTAAACATAAGTTATACTTAAAGTAGGGTAAGCATAACTCACTTACTAGGGGGTTTGGTTAGGAACTGGGCTCTGTGGGGGAAGAACTTCCGAGCCAAAAACCCTTCTTCTCGGAGCCTTTTGGGGCTCCAAGACTCGTTTCTAACATGTTGGAGGTGCCAAGGAATAACCTTGAGGGTTTGGGGGTGTGTGGGAGAGATTTCCAGTGAATTAGTGTGAAAAAATGAGAAGAAACAAGCTCTATTTATAGACTGTGCAGAGGGTCGAACGCAATGCGTTCAAGAGACAAACGTAGGGTGTTTTTGAATGCATCACATTACATAGTTGAATTCAGGGCTCTCATTTCCACGTGTCACCATCTTGTTCCAAGTCGTGGTGAAGAAGGTGTGGCCCAGATTGCGCCACGTGTCACTCGCAGATTACCCCAAAAACCAATTATATTCTAAAATCCATAACTTTCACATATGAGATCCATTTTTGAAGTTATTTATATTCATGCATATGTATTGACAAGATCTACAACTCTTGTTTGTACTCCGTTGGCTAATTGTCAACCGATTCTAAATTTAATAGTATGAGAAGATTACATTGTTAAATGACCATGTAAAATTCATAACTTCAACATATGGACTCCATTTCCATATGTCTTTTTATCGTTGAACTCTTATTGGTGATATCTTCAATTCTCATTTAGGTTGCGTCAGCCAAAATTTGATCGATCTAAAATTCGAATTCCGGGTTGTATACTACTATGCGAAATCTTAGAAAAATCATAACTTCCTCATATGAAGTCAGATTTTGACGTTCTTTTTATGCACACTCCCAGTTTAAAGTATAATACATCTTTCATTTAGATATCTATGGCTAAAAAGTAGGTTATCAAAGATTCATTTTTTACGATTCCCAGTGCCATGCCGGTTTTACCGTAAAACTTTGACAGATGATAACTTCTTCGTTATAATTCGGATTTCGGTGTTCTTTATATGTATGGAACCCTTGTGACATATACTATAACTTGGTTAAGATTATTTATTCTAAATAATATTCTATTAAAAAGTCATTTTTGATGCTTATTGTCTCTAAATTGACTAGCTCGAATATGCGGGCGTTACATGTTGACTTTTGGTTTAATTATTGATTCTAGTATCTAGACTAAGGTTAAACCCTGGATGATTGATTATGTGGTGTTCGAAACTCGATATCTGATTGTGTGAGCGCTTGAGTTTGGTCTACTTTGGTATGGTGAGTCTTCTCACTATACTATAGGATGCTAGACTGCTTTTATGATTCTTTCATTTGTATGTATGTTTTGTACGTGATGCACCCGATTATATAGCTTGAGCCTGATGATAGGGCTTGGCACTAATAAATTGGCTGGACATGAAGCATGTATGTTGGATTTGGCATGTTCTTGTTGGTATATTGTATTTTGGGGAAACTCACTAAGTTGTGTGCTTACTGTATTGTGTTTAAATGTTTTTCAGGTACTTCCGATTCGAAAGGGAAGAGCTCTTCATGATCACATTTGTACATACCATAGTTTTATTTTGAACTATATTTTGATCTATTTATAATGTTTTGAGAATACATTATAATGCTCTAATTATCTTTTATTGGATGAATGATTGATGGTTTTTGGTTGTTTTAAAAATGAAATTTTTTACCTTGAATTTTCTGGACGTTACAATTTGGTATCAGAGCCTTGGTTTGAGGGATTCAGATACACTCTTTGGTGAGTTTGGACTTAAACTTGGGAAGTGACAAAAAAGTTTTAATGAAAAAATTGTTTTTTTAAGCGGGTTTTATAAAAGGAAAGGGGTGTGGTACATGTAACCAGCCAAGCTTAAGTAAGTATTTTCCCTAAAATATCATATATGTGTTATGTTTAGTGTATTATATGTGAATCACATGCTAGATTGGGGATAAATATCTCCTCGGGATTTCATGAAAGAATACCTGTTTAGGGGCGATACATTTATGCCTGTTATGTGAGCCGATAATAATGCATACTAGTGATTTGGGATCTTCAGGATCTTTTGAGATAGAACTGCCTGATTATGTGGTATATGATTGTCGTCGTCAATGCTCAAATATTGCTTGCTTTGTGCTATAGGAGACCTTTATTGATGTTTATTATCCATTAAGTGAATACGTTGGGTTGCATACTATAAGGATTGAACAATCTTAGGATGTTAGGTTAAGCTCTATTGTGCATATGTTGTTTAAGTCCAACCATTGTAGTGTGAGAACTCACAGACGAAGGATTATTTAAAAACTTTTGTATGTAATTGTATTCGTGAGGTAGCTACGGGTATTGGTGGAAGTTTCCTTTGCAGCTGATAATAGAGATAGGGGAGGGAATCCTAAGAGAGCCTGGGGAAATTATAGTAGCTTGTTGAGAATGATGTCTAGCGGGAAATTACAGAGTTGTTAAGGAAAATACTTAGAGGATTCGGGATAATTATTGAGGAAAGTACAAATAGGTGTGAAAGGTAGTATTGGGCCATACCACTGAAAGCATACGATCTGTTCTTGAATCAAGGAAAGTCATGACAATTCTAAGTAACTTATAGAGTGATAGCTTCCGCGTGTATATTATGATAGTTTGATTATTGTATTTCAATATGGTGGTGACACGTGGTGGAGCAGGAGATTCATGATCGAGCTTTGGTTCAGGCACTAGTATCGAACCAGTTGATGAGGGACTATGTGAGTTCATCACATCAGAATTACGTATGGTATCTGTAGAATCTAAGAATCGAGTTTGAATAATAATCAGAGTTTGAAATTAGAAATGTATGTAAGATTGAACACCAATGTAAATAAGATCTTGATTCCGCTCAATATTACGCTTTTAGGTTTACAGAGTGAAAAATAGACAAGATTGTAAAAACCTTCTCTAACTCTAGTAAAGACTCCTATTTATAGGAGAATAAAAGTGTACAAAAAATATACTAAGGACTAGACACCTAAGCTTCGAATAATGTGCCTTAGTAAAATAGATAAGAGATTATACGAAGAGTACATATAAGACTTCGAATCATTACAACCAAACTACCCTTACATTCTCCCCCTTTGTAAACAGAGTTGAAGACTTCAGTTTGTAAGTAGTTGAATGGAGTACAACATTACTCTTCGTATCTCAGTATACCAAGAGATAATCTTCTTCAACTCCTTCTTTCTCCTTCGTTTTTCTTCTTGCAATGATTCATACGAATAATCAACTTTGTATATTGCGAAGTAGAATGTCTTTCAACCTCACTCGCCTGGAACAAAAACCTTTTTGATTTCCTGACTTGTCCTTCCTAGAGAAGACTAAGCCAAAAGGCTTCAAGAAGATTTCACCATCTGCATATTTCTTTAAGTCTGCTTGAGTCTTCGAAGGAGCCATAGGTGCTGTAATTTCCAGACCTTTAGCTGTAGCCAAGTCCACATCAGTCATTGCTAAACATTCATAACAATTTTCAATAAAAATCTTGATGTGAGTAACTCCCAGCTTGTACTCATCAGGTTCTATGTTTTGAAGATACGAAAAGGACCTTTCCTTCAGCAGTAATGCAACTTGTTCATACAAGTTCATGAAAGGAAAGTCAACAATTTTAAACTTGCACACATTACCATGTGTCCTGGTCACAATATACTTCATGTTTTGGATTGTGTTTTCGAAAACCACATTCTTCTTTATGCTTATGACCTATTTAATCTTTATCAAGGACCATACTTCTTCTGCAGGCTTCGCAAGAACCGCATGAAATCTGATCTTCATTTGAGTACCTTCATCCTTCTCCTTGAATTTACTTTCTGCTTTAAATTGAGGCATGATAAACATCATTTCATTAATCGGAAAGTCCAATTGGCTTGCATCCATATTCGTGACAATATAACTCTGTTTAGGCTTATTCTCAAACGAATACATGTGATTGAATGCAAATTTGGCTTCAATTGTTTTATAATTGTAGTTCTTTGAATGATCACCGTTGTTCATGCCAGGAGGATCACTAGCCCTTTGAGTCATTATCCTTGAATCATCCTCATCTTTTCCACTTCTGCCTCAGCCTCAACCTTCTTCTCTTCTTTAGATTTCTCAATTAGTATTGACTTTCCCCTTTCCTTCGAAACAGATTCCTCTATCACTTCTTTTGCTTTCTTATCACTTCTACCAGTGTCAATAGATTTACCAATCACAATTCCTTTCGAAATTGGTCTTGTGATTGGCACAATTGTAACTATTGTTGAAGAGACAGGACCAACAGTTGCTATCACTGGTTTTGATGTTGTGATTTTAGAAGGAAAAACCTTTCCCACGACCTTCACATCTTCGCCTCCAGCCTTCGAACCTTCGATTTTCTTTTCTCCCGCTTGCACCCCAGTACTAGCAAGTGGGGCATCCATTGTGGGAAGAAGGCTAGATATTCGAGAAAGAGGAGTCAACTGTTGAAGAAGTAAGGATTCAAATTGAGAAAATGTCTTGATAAGATCTTCAGAGGATAGCAGAGAAGATGAAGCAGGTGTTGAAGATAAGGTTTTAAGCTCCTTTAACAACGTGAAAACCTCCATGAAATTCTTGTTCTCTGTTGAAGAAAGTTGAGAAATTTGAGGACTCAGACTTTTGTACAACTTAGCAAACTTAGTAACTGCATCACAGATGATATCCACCTTTTGATTGAGAGATGCAAATTCAGTACGAACATTTGCAATCTCTTTCTCCATATCTTGTCTAAGTTCTTGGAGTTTATAATTCACATCTTCTCTAACTTTCTTCACATCTTGAATAAACAAAACATGTCTCTCCTTTGCAACCAACTTTAATTCCTTCAGATCACCTTCAAAAGTAGATTTCTGAGCATTAACCCTCATCTCATTACTATGATCACAAAGATCAATTTTATCCAGGAGACGAGACTTGGAATCCTTAATCATTCCTAAAACTTTCGAAGAAATCCTCCCTTCAACCATCTTTAGCAGACCATCCATTTCTAGACTGGTCACTGAATTTCCTCCCCCAAGATCAGCCTGAGACTGAAGAATTGAATTGAGTTTTGTATTCAATATCTTGAATTGTTTCATAGTCATGAGCATGTGATCTGGGAAGTCAGTCTCTTCTTCATCAAACTCTAGATTTTCAAATGCCCCTCCAAAAACCTTCGGACTCATGTTCAGTTTCCATGACAGAATAATCTTGAAGTGGTGAAGTGGTGGTAGGTGGATTAGTGGATTGTGAAGAAAAAAGAGATGTGATTGGTTGTTTGATGATGTTTTCAAAGGTAGGAGAATCTGTTGTGGATGTAGTAGGAATGACAGGTGTGCGTTGTGGAGGTAAAGAAACAATATTATCTATGGTAACATCCGAAGGTTTACCTTTGTCTCCAGTGTGCGAAGCATCCTCACCTATTGTGACATTTGCATCCATATGAGATATGTTTACAAAAATGTCAAAAGTTCGTGCCTCCACAGAAACTGTCTTGGCAACCAAAACTTCGGGTGATATTACATCAGTTGATGCAATATGAGAAGAATCTTTCTGAAGATCAACTTCTGGTGTTTCTGGAATTGTTTCATTTTCATCAGTAGTAGACTCTGATGAAATAATCACCCTACTCTTCTTCTTCTTCTTCTTCTTCTTCTTCTTCTTCTTCTTCTTCTTCGATATGTGTTTGGCCATATCAATTGCCCTTCTCTTTTTAGAAGATGGTGAAGAAGGTGCGGGAATCTCACAAAAGATAACTCCTTGATGCGAAACCTGCGGTTTGCGAACAAAATTTGAAAGAGGTGATCGAATCGTATGTTTTGACTTCATCTTGATTCTTCGAAAAACACCAGTCTTCGAAGGAATGATTTTCTTTTGAGTGGATGGGGTATCAGCAACAACAACTTCGATTTGGATTGGCTCGGCTTCTGTAATTGGTAACTTCGTTGGACTTTTTGTTGATTTTGATTCTTTGACAGGTTTCTCAGAAGATTCAGTAGCAACCTTCTTCGAACGCTTAGTCTTCGTCTCTTCTTCTCTAGCCAAAAGAACCACGGTTTCAACAGAAGTATCAATGGTTTGTAAGTAAGTGATTAGAACTGTGTTGGTGGGATCAACTCTTTTTAGCATGACATCAGGAGTGCGAGCAACAATTGGAAATTCGTTAGTATCATCAGTTGCATCCTTCGGACACCTATAGACATGATACACAACCTTTTATTCATCCGCCGGAACCAAAATCCATTCCTTCTCATTAAAATATTGCAAAATCTAACTCCAATATCAAGCACACGAAGTTCCATGAAGAGCATTCGTATTCTCAATACTCTTTAAGAACTCTTTCCATAATTGAGTAGAGTAATCAACTTGAAGATCATAGTATAAACCTGCGACCATCGCATAAACTTCCATCCTCCCCTTGTCCAACCCAACATTTCTTCCAGTTAAACATCTGAGAAAAATGCCGAACAAAAAATTCCAAACACTCAGAAGTCCTAACTTCTTGAAATCACTTATCTTTGCTAATTGGGGTTGATGACCCATTTCATTGAACATGTGAACAATTTGTGGGAATGAAAAAGTGACGTATGGCGGAGAATTAGGTATATCGAGAATTTTAGCTATTAAGATTCTTTGAAAGTCTGACCTTCTTATCAGTCACAAGCTTAAAATAAACTGCATCCAAAGCTTTAGAGTAAGTAGCTGTTGATCCAGCTTGAGACAGCCATGAAAGAGGAACAGAGAACGAGTTTCATGGCTTTTGATAATACAGAGCTCTTCAGAGAAACAATGAGAATTTTTAGTTCTTCAAGATATTGAGAGACATTTGCTTCAACTTGGTAATTTATGCCTTGAATCTTTATTATTGGCAATGAGGTTACATCATCGGTGGTGTGAGACAAAGTTGCATTAGGATTAGCAGTCGCCATTGTTAGGGTTTGAGAGTTGGATGTTTTTCAAAGTAAATTTGGGAATATGAAAGCGTAAATTGATAATGAACACTTGAATACCCTTTTATATGTAACTCTGAATTTTGAAATCAAAGCGGGATAAGCATTTAATGATCTCTGACGTGTCACCGAGAAAACCACATCATGATGATGAAAAAGTAACCATGCGTGATAAAGTAACTATCAAGTGTCCTCAAAACCCGCACAGAATTCAAACAGTTCCCTCAAACAGGCTGGATTGTTTGCCCTAATAGAATAGTAACCGTCGGAAACCTTCGGATGGAGGTAAGGCTCTTTTACTTTATGGTTTCAAAGTAAAGTCATTTTTCAGATTCTTGAAATCATCAGCCTGAGTTGGAATTACTCAGAATCTCAAGGATTTCGTGTGTATCAAGTGTGAAAGAATAAAGATGAGAAGCAATTAATTTTTTTCAAAAATTTAATTTGACACGAATTACAATCGAATACCAGTAAATAAATATCGAATGGCTTCTTTTAAAGGCTTTGGAGGTGGTTTAATGAATTTCGTTACATATCAACCTAAACATAAGGTGAGTAATTGTAACAGAAATTACTTGTTTGACCAGTGTAGTCAGTGACAAGTTTGCTTTGAAAATTTTTTAAGTAACATGGAATTTCAGATAAAACTCACACCGAAATCATATTCAAGAAAAAAAAATTGTATTCTGGATCCTGTTGGGTAACAAACATCATGGGTTTCGAATGTTTGATCAAGACCACACATAATAAATGAATATGATTTGGAGTTTCGAACGAAGGTACAAAAATAAATGTTTCGTTAAAATCTGGGACTAAGTTCCCCGTCAATTCCTTAAAGTTTAATTGAATTGGGTTTCACTTCTATCACGGTCTCATGATGTCTGATCATAAACAAAGATTTGTGATATATCTAAGTTTCGATTAGTTTAATCAGAAACCTCTTGGACATATGTCTTCGTGTGTGATAGTGTAAGAATATTGAGATGAAAAAGATTGGTATACGAAAGAACATGTACCTCTGTTATTTTGGACCAAACAGTAAACTCTTAACTCATGTGAGAAGAGTAAGGTAGCTCATTCGACTAATGCGAATGTAAGACTAATTGGGAAGAAATCTTCGTATGAAAATTTCATTAAGGCTTTCAAACATTGAGTCATTTCGAGGTTTCGGACAACATACTGCAACATGCTTCTAGGGACATCTTAACTAATAAAAAGAAATTCGAAATTCAAAGAATAGAATGATAAATGTACCTCACCCTACAACTGTAAGCCTTATCCTCTTTGTATCTTCATGAATATCTGCAACACAATACTTAAAAAAAAGGAAAAAAACAAAATATTTTTGTTGTTTTTGATTTTTCGAAAATTAAGAACAAAATAATAAAAAAATCTTTTTGATGTTTTTAATTTAAAAAAAATAAAAATAAAGAACAAAACAATTAAAAGTACTCGTTGCAAATATTTGAAGTTTTACCAAGCTAATAAAAATACCAATCATACGAATTCAAAGCATTTGAAGAGTTGACTGTGCACAGTAACCTCTGAATACTGAATGATTTTTCTTGTAGTCATTGTTTGTCTTTTTCGCATGGAATTGAATTTCCATCAATCATTCCCAGTCCTTCTAAAATTCGTACAAACGATTTTTCAACCAAAGCTTTTGTGAAAAATATCAGCCAACTGATTAGTTGTTTTCAGGAAATGTACTTCAATATTTCCTTCCTCCACATGATTGTTGATGAAGTGATATTGAAGATCTATATGTTTAGTCTTTGAATGCTGCACATGATTATGAAAAATTCTTATTGCACTTTGTGAATCACAATATAAAGGAATCTTTTTCATGTTAATTTCATAATCACGTAATTGACTTTCGATCCATATTATCTGTGAAGTGCATGCAGCAGTAGCAACATATTCAACTTCAGTTGTTGAGATTGAAACACATGTCTGCTTTTTGATTGCCAGCTCACCAACTTACCATTGAGCAATTGACATCCTCCACTTGTGATTTTCCTATCAAGTTTACAACCTCCCAAATTTGCATCCGAATATGCTTGAACAAAGAATCCTGTATTCGAAGGATACCACAATCCTAGTGAAAGAGTTCCTTTTAGATAACGAAAGATATTCTTTACAGCAATGAGATGTGGTTCTAGTGGATTTGATTGATACCTAGCACAATTACATACATAAAACATGATATCAGGTCTACTAGCAGTTAAATATAGTAAAGATCCAATCATGCTTCTGTATAAAGTGAGATCTACAGCAGGTTTATCTAACGATGGAGTTAGTTTGATGCCAGTTGCTATTGGAACTCGTAATTTTGTGCTATTCGTTAATCCAAACTTCTCTAGAAAATTCTTCGTATATTTTTCTTGATTAATGAAGATTCCTTCTCTGTTTTGACGAATGTTTAAACCAAGAAAATTATTAATTTTTTCCATCACGCTCATTTCGATCTTACTTTTCATCAAGTCTTCAAACTGTTTAGACAAAGTAGGGTTAGTTAAGCCAAAGATAATATCATCAACATAAATTTGAACAAGCATAAGTTGATTCCCAACTTTGTTACGAAATAATGTGGGGTCAACTGAACCTTGTTTAAATTTAGATTGCTTTAAAAATGAAGTAAGAGTTGCATACCAGGCTCGTGGTTCTTGTTTCAAACCATAAACTGCCTTATCTAAGATATAAACATAATCAGGGTGTTTTTCATTAACAAAACCTGGAGGTTGTTCCACATAGACAGTTTCTTCGAGTCTCCATTCAGAAATGCACACTTCACATCCATTTGATAAACATCAAAGTCTTTGTGAGCTGTATAAGCCAAAAATATACGAACCGCCTTGAGTCTTGCGACAGGGGTAAAAGTTACTTTGTAATCAATTCCTTCTTGTTGAGAGTACCCCTTAACAACAAGTCTGGATTTGTTTCGAATGATATTTCCATCTTTGTTAGTTTTATTTTTGAAAATTCATTTTAACCTAACAATCGAAACATCATTTGGCTTAGGAATTAATCTCCAAACCTTATTTCTTTCAAATTCAAACAATTCAGATTGCATTGCAACCACCCAATCTGAGTGTTCCATTGCACTCTTTACTATCTTTGGTTCAATTTTAGAGATAAAAACATTGAACATGCAAAACTCTTGATGAGTCTTTAATACCTCATTCTTTGCACGAATTTGAGCCCTTGTTAAGACTCCCTCTTGTGGATTACCAATTATTTGCTCCTTCGGATGATCTTTTGTCCATTTGTCCATTGGTAGATAAGCTGGATCGAAGTCCAGATGTGCGTCTTCGTACAATTCGTTATTATCTGAGCCTGCAATTGAACAAACATCAATAACATCATGATAACTTTCATTATTTTGTAATAACTCCTCCTCAACATTAGCATTTAATCTCTCCACCTCAACATCAACATTTTCTCTCTCATTCTACCCCTCGAAAGAATGCTCACCCTCCATTGGTCATTTTGCATACTTTCGCCTATCACTTGAGGAGATCATGTTGAACCATCAGTTAGGTTCGAAAGTTTAGGGATATGATTATCAGGAGCTTTTTCTTCAGCATTTCCAGCATGATCTGAAATTTCAAATATTAAATCATAATCAATATCCAACATTTGCATTGGTTCAGATTCATCTTGAGTTTCTTTCAAAATTGGATGATTTTTAAATTGGTGTGTAGATTGTTTTATATAAGGGTAAAGTGAATATACCTAACAACCTTATATAAGCTTAGGTACCTAACCACATCATACTACGTAATTTTGTATCATATTTGCATTGTAATCGCACAAAGTTCTTAAAATTCAACCTCATAACTTGATTGCTTCCAAAATCTTTGGACTTTCACCATTATCATCTTTCAAATGACGTCTTTCTATCAAAGACCCCCTGGTGGGCTTCATATACTACCGTTACAAATCAAATGGTGTAGGAAGAATATAATGGTGAATATCTAAAAATCTTGGAAGTAAATCAAGTTAAGGGTTGAACTTTAAGAACCTTAGACGATTGCAATGGAAATATAATGCAAAACAATGTAGTATAATATGGTTAGGTACCTAAGCTTATATAAGGTTGTTAGGTATATTCCCTTTACCCTTTATATAATAATCATTAAATGTAAGGTTAAAAGTTTTTTCCACTTTTCGTGTACG